GAATCGATTAGGGCCCGAACAGATTTTCCGTTGCAGATTAGCTCTAGGATGATTGGAGCTACTGAGGAAGGTGCTACGCACCTTTCGGCACCCTCCGCCTCCTCGTCAATCAGTCCCATCCGAAATTGGTCGGCTTCTTCATATGCCGCGATGTCTTCGGCGATCATATCTGGGAAGGACTCGACTGCTGCCACCCAAGTCACCTGTACGTGTACAAATGCACGCAGTGTATTGGACTATACAGATGCACTTACTGTCGCATTGAGTCCGAACACCGCGCCTAGATGTAACTAGATGTCAAGATACATCTAGGGTCACCTCAAAAATCGGCCAAGTCATGACTTTACATACCCCTCACAGAGAACCCAAGGTATACCTCACCACCCACCTCACCACCACCTCACCATCTCTCACATCGATTTCCCTCACCATCTCGTCGGCGACCAAACACCCATGAAGATGACTTCAAACATTCGCAAAGACACCCTTCCAGTCCTCAACACAACCATTCCAGCCCCACCACCCATTACCCTACCTGGACCGACCCTCGACTCGATGAATAACTACGTCAAAGCCTTTGCACCACCTCATGGATACCTTATCTCAATAGGCCGATCATCCCTTGTTAAAAAGCCTTTCTGTAATTATAGGTGCCACCGTGGCGGGTTACCAGAAGCTTCCAAGGATCCGACAAAGGAATCGAAGTCTCTCAAGATTGAATGTCCATTCAATCTCAAGGCTCGATATTCACCAAGCACACAGATGTGGACACTTTCACACATTGTAACAAATCATAACCACGATCCCAATTTTGATATCCAACCTCAGCCAACGGCACAAACGTCTTCCAATCCATCCGAAATCGACGTCAACACTTTTCTCAGATCACTTGGCTCAAAGATCAAAGCTTTAAGTACCGCAAAGCAACACAATATCATCACTTCAATCAATGACCTCTTCGATGCAACCAGTGTCAATAACTCGGTTGGAAATGATCCCAAAACAACGACTGACTCAGTGAGTGTCTCTTTCTTTCTCCCATTTCTTAAATGATACTAAAGTTACTTGGAACAGACCAAAACCGAACCAAAAACGAGCTTACCACAAGACTTAGACGAGCATAGTAAGCACAAAGAAGAAACCAGTGTAAGTCTTTCAGCCTTTCTCGTTCTTCCTCACCTTCAAAAAGTTGAAACACAATATTATAGATCACAAACGATATTTCCGATACAGATCACCACAACATACAAGAACCTCCTTCCAACTGTACTACCAAAACTCAAGATCCTCCTGTTGGCCTCGCTCTTGAACACATACAAGAACCTCCTTCCAACCTTCCAGCCCAAATTCGAAATCCTTCTGTAAGCCTCGGCCTCGATCATCCAAGCTTGCTTTCCAACGCTCCACCCGGAGTTCCCTTTCAACCAACTCTTGACACTCTACCTCGATCTCAATCTTACAAGAGATCGCGTCACACCAATTCAACGGAACAAAACAAATCAGAGTCGGTCACCACAAGAGTCCCTCGTAGATCACAAAGGACCAAGTTATCTCAGACTTAATTTTTGTACACTCACTCACATTTGTATATGTATACATATATGTATACAAAGATTTGTTTATCGTCTCTTTGTAGTAGTATAAACAAATGAAATGAATCACAACTCTATTACAATGCTATTACATCAAGAGTCTCATTCTAGATTGCCTCGATCTCCGCTATCAAAGGTTGCATATCAAATGCCTCATTACACTGGGTCATAACCCTTGCCTTCATCTCATTCCACCGAGTAAGAAGTTCTTCGTCAGGATACTCAGCATCCAGGTATGTTGCAGTCCATTTGAGTGCATTACCCAAGCCAATATCCCATGACCTCCAAAGACGATTTGCCGACTTCATCAATGAGGAGTGTAAAAAACCCATATTCCTTTTTCTCTCGTCTGTCAAGTCCAGAAAAATATTCAACATGTCATCACGTCAAGAAGTAGGTACACAAATGGAAATGGACTTGCCCTGAGTCTGTGCAATTTCCACCACAATGTTATCAATCTTGAGTTGATAGGCAAGTGCCCACTCAACTAACTGCCTAGCCTCCCTACTGATACGCCTGAGTTCCTCAACCGCGGCCCTCTTCAATAAAAAAGCTTGTATCCCCGCTTTTGTATGCTTGTTCGAAGCCCAGTCCTCGTCAGGGTGACTCAGATTACCCAAATCCCAGAAGCCATCAGTCACAGGCATCGCTTCAATTTCTTCAAAGGATGGGTCTGGTATCAAGTCCCTTCTCCTTCTATTTTCATTAAACTTAGCTACATGTCGATGATAAGTGTTATACTTCGTTTTCAGGAGTTTTTGTTTCTTCTTTCGTCGATCGCCAATCCAAGCTTGGTCGACAGTACCTGAAAAACAAAGCTTGTTAGAAAACTCTCACAAGATGTTTGTAAAAGCATGCGACCTACCAGAGTGGACATGAGCACGTCTTTGGTTCTCAACGACTCCCACCTTTGCCTCGTATAGCTTTGACTTGGCAAGTTGAATCGTGATCAGGGCCTGTTTGTCTGAATCTGTCGTGCAACGCCAGATACATCAACAACCAGTTACAACAAATAGTGAGAAAGACAGATATATACCTACCTGTTCGATTCGGAAGGACCAACGCACCCAGCTCTTGGGCCAAATCCACAGCCCTTCTCTCTAAGAGGACGATGGTATTGGGTAATCTCAAGAGTTCATTCCGCTCCTCACCGGTTCGGATTCTTGGTGTTATTGATTCTAGAGCTTCGAGCTTTCCACTGATCACAATATTTGTCAGTACACAATAATGTGTCTTGTGTCTTGGAATTGAGTCACTCACCGTGCTTCAATTAACTCTTCTTCAAACTCCATATATACCAGCAATTTGTCCCGCTTGTCTTTTGCGCTCTCACTGATCACTTGTTTTTGAACCTCACGCTGCCGAGCCCATTGAACCTCAAGATACTCTGTAGTCATTGTTGGATTTGCCAGTAGTAAGCTACTGAGCTCAGCTTCAGCTTCAGCCAACCGCTTCATCACTTCTTTGCCACGCTTCTCGATTGATCGCACTGGAGTGGAGCACAAGTTAAGTTACTTACTGAAAGTATCTATATCTTAGAACGCTCACCCGCATTAGCCCTGGATATTTCATTTGTATGAATCGATCGCATACTGATACTCATCAAACGATGAAGTGCTGTTGCATACCGATTGGGTCTAACCAGGGGGCTCAAATCGGACCATTTCCGCTCCATACCCTCCCCATCCGAAAGCCCCCATCCCGTGTTTAGCCTGGGGTTGTAGTCCAACTGACACCCCCATTCGTGAACGTAAGCGTGAAATACGCTGGTTCCGAACTTCAGACGGCCTCCTTCGCGTTCTGTAGCAAATTGTTTGCGCTATCATGATCAGTCAGTGGAAGTGAGTTTTGATCCACGAGGTTTTTGACCACACAATACACACCTTCAATATGCCCTTCTCGACATTGCACCCAATGTCGTATAGGATGCCCAGTTTGTTTTTATGTTGACGGTCTTGTGCACCAGCCACTGTATCCGATAGCCACCTGATCATCGAAAGGCTGAATGCTGCTCTGAAATGTATTGTACAAAACAATCAGTGTAAGAACAAATTCTGCAAGACGGTGAAGGCTCCGAATGAAAGGGCTCACTTCTCACCACTCTGGACGATGTTGATGAATCTCAGACTGTGGTCGTGCCTACAAGCCATGCCAAACAGGCCTGTCTCATCGCAGCCACCCCAGTGAGTCTTACCACGCACATCGTTGGCAGCAGTATGCTGTTGACTACAAGGATGCTGAGAGTACAGGTTTGTCTATCAGATACTCAACAGGATTTTGAAAAATAAAATTCAACGTACAACCTCGTCATCATTTTTAGGGTCTTGATGTGTCACATCCTCAATAAGCTCACTTGGCATGAACAGTTCCGGTGTTTTTGGTTGATACCCAAGGATTGGTACGCTGGCGGCTGCGTGTCGTCGATGCTGGAAATTTCCATCCAAGCAAACAATATAATCAGGTTCTTCAGGCTTTGTGTCTCCAACTGGGGGGCCAAAACATCTAGGACAGTTGGCTGCCAGATGATCGATATCTTCGAACTTAAGCAACCCGAACTCCATGTCCCGGATACTATAGATAATCGAACGATACGCATCTATAGCAGAGGTAAACGGCTCACGCCAGTCTCGCGGCTGAGCAAAATCCTAAGTCTCATCGTTCATATCATACAACAGTGACAAAATTGACTTACACGGCCACTTTGACTTTCGATCGGGGGGTTATCATCATCCAAAAGCTCGTCAAGAGCACGTGTAAAACCTTGGATACGTAGTGCACAGTGCTTCCAATACACATGGAAGTGCTTAAGCAACCGGATTGAGAAAGCAGTCGAAGGATAGACCGGGGTTGCACCGATGTACCCCATCCCAACAAGGCGCACTGGGTCTGATGTACATTCACAAAAGGTAACTTGAATTTTGCTTCGTGCTGGATGAACAAAAGGGGAGAATGTCATTTAACACATTTTGATAACGTCGCACTGAATCTTACAGTGTAAATCAATCATATCAATCCAGCGGACTCGCTGCTTGCGAGGCGGGCAAGAGCATGGGTCTTTAAAATCTTGATTCCAGCATAAACGATTGGTCCAATTCCGTGTCAACTCACGACATCGCAGGAAAGACGGTATCATACAGTGACATTGGTGAGCCCATCGAAGCTCGGCCTGCAATCTTCTAGCATTATTTCGAGCTCTCTTGATGCTGGAGATAATTTCTTCATCTTCAATATCACTCCATTCTGAATCTGAATCATCATCCTCTGGGCTGCTTGTTAAGTCGTCAAAGCCGTGAGGAAATTGTAGAATATCAAAGTCTTCGCGGTCCAGGCCTGCGTAGTGTTGATCCGCCCAATTGTGTGGATGATCAATCGAAAGCGAGGTTCCGGCGGGTGCTGCTGTGATACGAGCAAAAGTTCGACCTATTTCTTTTTCATCCTTTTTCTTTTGAGCTAAAAACTGGACCTGTCGATCAGTAACAGGTTTGGGAGTTGGCTTTATCTTTTTCAGAGGCCGATTCAACGGGTTGGAAGGCATGATTTGGTGCCTTTTAGGATCATCAAGATGATTGAATACCCTCAGGTAAGGAAATCCACTGTGTACCGTTGTTAGCGTATCTTCTTCAATCAAGGGGTTTTTTTATGAAGTCCGTGTAAGACTTTCCGTACAAATGTGGGAAAGTCCTATTCCCAAATAGGACAATGGTACTGTTTCATTAGTTGGCTAACATATCAAATCACTGTTGAATAACCTTTTAGTTCTATTGTGCCATTTTGAACCAAAAAACACTGGCAGTTCAATACGTAAGTTGGCTATAATTGAGTCGAATGTCCGATTCAATTTTTCAAAGGTCTGATCACGAAATCACATAAGGCTAACAATTGATTATAAGGTATTCAAGGTGTGACCCAAGCGCACAAACAATAATTTTTCCAATGATCAGGCCCCAGTTTTGATAAGATAAACATTCATTAAAACATACAAAGCAACAAGTAAAAGTTACAAGTAACCAAGATCATAAAGTGAGGTACAGCTTGATTTGATTGAGATTGAAAGGAACTTTTGAGAGATGGATAACCAGAGTTCATTAATGATAAATGTGTGTTGGACAAAGGAGCACATTTCCCCAAGAAGCATGCACATTTAACAAAGAAGCATTCAGTCAATGTAGTGGGATTTATAGTAAATTCGATTTTTATCGGTAAAACAGCATTTTGGGAGGAGTATGAGTGTTTATACACCTAAAAGTGTGCCAACAGTTACCAAATTGTATCAAATGCAACCTTAAAGATTGCTTATCAATTTGGTACTACCATAAACTTTATAGTGCTCTGGGCGTAAAAGTTATAGCAATTTCAAGGATGATCAGGAGATGGTATTTTGGAAAAGGTGCGTGTGAGTGTTTCACCATCATAAAGTGTGACAACCGGGACCATATTGTATCATAAGAAAGCCTGAGCCTGTTTTATCAATTTGGTACATTGACTTTCCGTATATTCCACAAGTTGTGGAAGTTATAGCAAATTCGATTTTTACCGGTAAAATAGTAGTTTGGGGGAAGTAAGGGGGTCATACTGACTCTTGTGGGTTGAAATAATGTGGAAACAATAGCTTTTCTGAATGCTCTAACCTTACTGATCAAAATGATACCATCATTTTGATAATTGGATATGATTTGTAAAAGTCATAAACAAATATTGTTTTTTGGTATTCAGCAAGTCATGAGCGTATACTACAAATGACCTGACGTTGAAGCAATTACTTGTGGGTTGAAATAACATGTAAACAATGTGATTTCTGAATGCCCTAACCTTACTGATCAAAATGATACCTTCATTTTGGTATCTGGATATCATTTGCAAAAGTCATCAACAAATATTGTTTCTGGGTACACAGCAAGTCATGAGCGTATATCACCAATGACCACACATTGAAGCAATTACTTGTGGGTGGAAATAAGGTGAAAACAATGACATTTCTGAATGCCCTAACCTTACTGATCAAAATGATACCATCATTTTGGTATTTGGATATCATTTGCAAAAGTCATCAACAAATATTGTTTCTGGGTACACCGCAAGTCATGAGCGTATATCACCAATGACCACACATTGAAGCCATTACTTGTGGGTGGAAATAAGGTGAAAACAATGACATTTCTGAATGCCCTAACCTTACTGATCAAAATGATACCATCATTTTGATAATTGGATATGATTTGCAAAAGGCATTAACCAACATTGTTTTTGGGTACACAGCAAGTCATGAGCGTATATCACAAATGACCAAACATTGAAGCAATTACTTGTGGTTGGAAATAACGTGGAAAGTGCAGCATGTAGGAAAGTATACTTAACAAGCATTTGCCATTTGCCCATTTTCCTACAATGTGTTTGATTTGTATAGAGCAAAATTGTGGACAGAAATTATCAGAAACGTGTGTTGTGCAGAATTTGTCTAAAACACTCGACAAGGATATTGATGCAAAATCAATCACAAATTACTCTCAAACACATTGATAATGGCGCAAATGAGCTGAATGCTTCTTTGTCAAATGTGCTTCTTTACACGCTGGACATTTTTCATTAATAAAATTTCTTCATATCTCCACATCTTCCCTTTCAAAAATCTATTTCAACATGGAAATTCAAACCTTTATCTCCCGTTCAGCAACAAACTCCTCTCAAACACAATGATAATGACGCAAATGGACTGAATTCTTCTTTGGTAAATGTGCTTCCTTACACGCTGGACATTTTTCATTAATGAAATTTCTTCATATCTCCACATCTTCCCTTTCAAAAATTTATTTCAACATGGAAATTCAAACCTTTATCTCCCGCTCAGCAACAAAGTCCTCTCAAACACAATGATCATGGCGCAAATGGGCTGAATGCTTCTCTGATAAATGTGCTTCTTTACACGCTGGACATTTTTCATTAAAGATATTTCTTCATATCTCCACATACTCCTTCTCCAAAGTTCATTTCAGTCTCAATTCTGGATTTTTTTTGCCCACACATAGTTATCTCGAACACTGTGATAATGAAACAAATACGCTGAATTCTTAATTCATGGTACACTACGTATAAGTATAAGAACTCATTAAAAGGCATATGCACTTAATGTCAATTCAAACACTTTCAAAAAATCAGCCAAAAGTACGATGTGTGCATAGTGAGTTCACTGTTGTATGGGTATTAACAAGGGTCAAATCAAACTTTTGCAACTGTCGAGACAACTAGAACACTCGGTGATGGGTTTTGTTTCAAAAGAGCTATTCAAAGAATTTTGTCTCTTACCTTATTAATTATTTTTGAAACTTGAAGTAAGACGTCAAATTTTGGCAATACACGAATTTAAAATTCCAAATGAAACTGGATCAATGGTCCAGGTGGCATGGGGGAACATTCATCCATTCTCACGTAAACTTATGGGTGTCAAGGAGGTCTGAAGGTGGCTATTTAGCATATGTATGTATGGATTCATAATAACTCAACACATGAAGCCAATATACACCTGAATGTCAAGCCATAAGTCTAAACGATATATCACAAACGATATATCACAGTTCATCTAAATGCTCAATGTATCGCAGTTCATACAGTGTTTTGAGTGGTTTAATCTCAACGTCTCACCAACCGATTTAGACTTTCATGGATGGATGCAAAATCGTCACATCAAACTGAACAATCAATATTGATTTCGTTAAATGAGTGGGTATTACTTGCATCATCTGCTAAAGGTGAGACTTACTAGGCTTTGCTTCTGGGGTTTCCACGTGGCCTGACGCCATTGGAAAGTTGCTGGGCCTGGTTTTCCATTGGGGCAGCACATCGGGATGAAAGATTATTTGGCCAGTTCCAGGTATGTGGTTATTGAATCGTTTGCTCTGTCAGAATGAGTATGATCAGATAATTTGCTTTGGCTTTAAAGACATCAAAGGTATGGACAGGATAGAAGTGCTAACCATGGTAATCAGTCTGAAAAGATGAGAATAGTGCCCCTCGTAAAGATGGTCTTTCCACGGGTTAGAATCGTTGGAGACAACATCATCAATTGCCTGAATATATTGTTCAGGCGACATGGTGATTTCATAAAGTACGCCCGCTTCGCTCAGCATTTTGGCTAGATCAACACAGTCATGTCTGTCTTTATGTTGTTTTTCAAGGGCATGATGAACAATGGGATGAGATAAGTCATAACTTGAACCTAAGTTAGCTTCGTTTGGTTTGCTCGGTTGCTCTGGAAAGTGAGGTTGTTCCGATATCGTTTCTTCGTCACCATTTTTATCTAGGATCATGATGAACCTAGTGAAATAAGTCAGAACTGGATGTATGAAGTGGGAGAGGATATATGAAAAGTAATAAAACCTTACCGATATAATTGGGTGTGAGGTGAGATGAAAAGTCCGATGGATTTGTGGTGCTATAATTCACCTGATAACACAATCAACGTATGTACAATAGTGTTCGAATCTATGTATAGAGATTTTTGTCAGTTATTCTGATTGAACTGGTAGAACATAAGGCCACGAGAGAAGAGAAGGAATGTAAATAACAAACAGGGATAGAAACGATACCTTTGATTCTAAGTATATAGTCCCACAAAGAAGACTGAATTTGATTGATAATGAATGGGGCTGATGATGAAGTCAGCTGTTGCAGTTGAATTGATATGTATACAATTTGAATTTCCTAATCAACGCTTTTGCTGTTACAAACTAAAAGAATTGGTGATTCTATCAACAGTTACAGAAGCAGGGTCAGTTGTTGGTTTTGATCAGCCATGATCCCATGCTTCCTGTGCCCATAGAATGGGGAAAAGGCTTGCATCGAAGACTACGGGTATGTATTGTCCCACATTTGGAATCCACACCCAGTTATCTCCAATCGCTTTCTTTTCCCCAGTCTATCAGCAACCAGATGAGATTTGGTGATCATGAATGATTGATGTTATGTAAGGTGCGATAGAGTATAGTATGTATCAAACCTTTTGTGAATGTGTATGTTGGAATCGAGTGAATTGAGGATTTGGTGAAGCTGAATGGAATGAATTGAATTACTTACGAGCCTACGAAGGAAGATAAAACAATGTAAATAAGCGAACTGTAAGTATGAGAGCTTGATGAAAGGAACGTGAAACAGAAAGCGCACCGGTGAGAAAGGAAGAGCGGAAGGAATTAAGTCGCTGTTGAAAACAAATCAATGGAAGGCTGACCAAGTCGTGATTCTTTTTCTTTGAATGTCGTTGTTTGACGGATATAGAAAGTGGTTGGTGCAGCGACCAGTATTGAGTACAGTTGAAACATACATTTGGGTTGGAAAATCTGAAAGATCAGCTGAGCTGGTTTAATTGATCAAGAAAAACAACAAATCTTGGACTGTTTTCAAGACTACACAAAAAAAAATACATATCGCTGGTCCCAACTCATCAACATTTCGGACCAGGGCCGGGCCGGGGCCGACCCAGATCAGGCTGTGGTTCATTCTAGGTGATACCAACTGTACTCACCTGACTATAATTGAATTGAAGTTGATCTGTATTGGAATTCAACAAGGCAGAGCAAGACCGATTCAGATCTTGTTCACCTGTTGAAACCACAACTCAATACTTTCTTTCTATCCTCATGTATTCAAACGGTAAGGATCTTCTAATGAACTAGTGTTCACTATTCAATGTTTCCCTTCTTAGTGGGCTTGTCAGTAGCCTTAAGTGGCTCTTTGGATCGTGTGTAATTAAGAATAAATGGCTCTTTGAATGGTGTACAATCAACAATCTATATATACAATTTTTTTAATGGACTGTATTTGATAGCTGTAATACTTCTGAGAATACTTTCCTTTTGGGAGTGATCAGTAATGTAGCACAAGGAGATGATATGTACTACAAATGAATTTGAGTGAAATAAGTAGATGGATCTTAAGTTACAGTTGATGGCTGTCCCATATCGGTGGTTGCAGTTGATGGCTGTCCCATATCGGTGGAAGTATTGAGTCGAGGGTCTGTAGCTTTGACCACAAGATACCTTTTGGCTACAATATCCTCGATCCATAATCTGACTTTCTCACCCGGGAGTTTTCCTGCTCCACAGCCTCTTGATAACATATCCTCTGTAACTAGTGACCCAGGTAGACGGAGGACGGCCAAACGTATGCCAGAGCGAAAAGTCCGTTTAGGTAAGGTAACATGTGGATTCGGACCTTGAGGATGAGTATCGTTTCTAGATTCGCGTCCACCTGGAAGATGTGCTTCTAATGAATCATATTATTGTGAGATATGAGGCAATGAATGGTGAGGCCAATTAAGGAACTTACGTATGAGACCATTGAGGCGTGTGATCAGGTCTTGTCTGAGAATAGCTTGAGGTGTACTAGATTCAGTGGATTTCTTTGTCGACTTTTTTGCAGCCGGTGCTTGAGTCGACGCAACAGCAAAACGTTCAAGTAGATGAAATTCACTCCGTGCAAGTCCTGCCCAAGTCTCTGCTGATGTGAACTCGTCTTGGTAGAGGGCGCGAGACATCGATGTATTTGGATTCCAAGCCGCAACGAGGAGGTGAAAGTGAAATCGAAATTTAGTGTGAATGAGGTTAAGCTGGCCACAGTAGTACGTGAGTTCTTTGCAACTGTAGATGTAAGTTGAAAGTAAGTGAAAAAAAATGTACTTGCTCAACGACCTTTTTAATCTCTTCTATGCCAACTTTTTCAAATTGTCGGGCAGTCCCGCTATGCCTACAAAGTCGACCGTGTTTGAAATCTAGTTTGACTGCCTCCATGTTGACCAAACTTTTAAAAATCGGAACATATTTTTCTTTCTCTTCATCAGTTAATGTTAAATCTATGCTTAATTCGTCGTCTTCGGTGCTGGTAGTCATAGGAGGTTCTGATCTATTGTACTGCATTTCTTTCATGACTTCACTTATGAGGCGTTCGAATATCTCGGGTTTGAATACGTGCTGTTGGTCCTCTTCGTAGCTTGACCAGGTGTTGCCTACAATCTTATTGCGCTGCTTGAACCCCGCTGATTGACCTTTTGGAGGCACTATACAAAGACAAGGAAAAGAACGAGAAGGGGTTAAGTGGAGATCGTATCGATTGGGAGGGATGGAATGCAAAGCACTAACTTGGGGTGGTGGTACTAACCAGGCTATATGCCTGATAGTTTGTATATTTATTTGGTTCGCGTGCCAGTGGCCCTTCGAATCTGTAGTGTGAAAGTGAAAGGCAATGTATGAGCATATTGACTTAGAAAGGAAAATCAATGGTGATAAAAGTAGAAAATCGTACAGAGCTGCATCGAGGGTGGGTCGGCTGATTCCTTCAGCTATACAAAGCATTGTCTTGTCAAGATTGTATTGAAATTGGAGGGCTTGAGCCTCGAGGAGGCAGGTTTGAGACACTCGTGTCTTGATGTGGGGTTGTCGGGCTAGGATTCGCTCGGCTCGTGCTTGGCCCCATTCAAGGCCAAGTTCGTGGTAGTTTTGCATGGTTGGATGGATGGCAGGGTTTTTCCTTGTCCTCTTGCGGTTAACGGCTGAGAGTCCCGTGACTTCTTCATCTTCGCTGGTTTCTGGGTCGTCATCGGTAAAATTGTCTTCCAATCTACGAGGGAGAGGGGGAGAGCGAGTATGTGATGGGCCTGATCGTGGGTCTGGTGATACTCGGCTTCCACCACGGCGAGTGTTGTAAGGCATGTTGAAAAGAGGGGATGTGGGTGTTTGGTCGCCAACAAGATGGTGAGGGAAGTCGATGTGAGAGATGGTGAAGTGGGTGGTGTGGTGTCCGAGTTGAGATGGTGAGGTGGGTGGTGCGGTGTCTGAGTTGGGATGGTGAGGTGGGTGGTGCGGTGTCCGAGTTGAGATGGTGAGGTGGGTGGTGCAAGGTCCGAGTAGGTGGTAAGCTGGGTGGTGAGATGGGTGGTGGGTGGACCGAGCACAGATGGTGAGATGGATGGTGAGGAGGTAAGTTGGGTGGTGAGGTGGGTGGTGAGGTGGTGGTGAGGTGGGTGGTGAGGTATACCTTGGGTTCTCTGTGAGGGGTATGTGAAGTCATGACTTGGCCGATTTTTGAGGTGACCCTAGATGTATCTTGACATCTAGTTACATCTAGGCGCGGTGTTCGGACTCAATGCGACAGTAAGTGCATCTGTATAGTCCGATACACTGCGTGCATTTGTACACGTACAGGTGACCCAAGTAGGAGCGTTCGCAACAGGCGCTCGCCCTGCAGGTCGCTGAGTTGGTGCAAATAAAACTCAAGTATTAGGATTTTTGGGCACGTGTATATATGTAAGAATGTTTATTCCTAATTTTGGTCATTTGGCAGCACCTTTAAGAAGGCTTACAAGATTAAAAGTGGAGTTTATATGGAGTCAAGAGTGTGAGGATGCTTTTAATTTATTGAAAAAGATTGTTGGAGAAGATATAATATTATCAGCTTTGGATTATAATGAAGAAGCAAGTCCAATTATTTTAGCCGTGGATTCAAGTCATATAGCAGCTGGAGGAGTATTAATGCAGGCAGATGGAAATGGGGAAGTCAGGCCAGTATTCTATGAATCAGAAGTATTTACTGAGGTGGAATCAAGGTATTCTCAACCCAAATTAGAGTTATGTGGCGTGGCAAAGATTCTTAAGAAGTTCAGAACAAAGTTATGGGGTCAGCATTTTGAATTACAAGTGGATGCAAAGGCTTTAATTCAGATGATTAACACGCCAAGTTTACCTAATGCTGCTATGACAAGATGGGTAGCTTTCATCCAATTATTTTCATTTGATTTAGTTCATAAACATGCTAAAAGCTTTGGAATGCCAGATGGATTATCAAGAAGAATGTGTGGAAGTGATTCAGATTCAGCTGAGAGTTTTAATGAGGAGGATAAAGATATTAAAGTATATGAAAGTTTTAAATTGCAGAATGAGGATTTAACATCAGAAGAAGAGGAGGAAGAGAGTGGAACAATTTGGGCGCAAGAAGGTGTTTGGAAATATTTACAAGAGTATTTAACAACTTTAAAAAGACCTGAAGGATGCTTGGATGATGAGTTTCAAAGGCTTAAGAATAGAGCTCCTTCTTATTACGTGGAGAATGAAAGATTGAAGAAAAGAGGAGTACCTTATGGAAGATG